TCCGGCGGCCATTTTGAAGCCGCGGAACAGCTGATCGGCGGGGGCGCAAAGCGAAGGTCGGTAAGCGAACCGCTTACCGACCTTCGCTCTGTGAATTTTCCCCTATGTAGGTGCCGTTTTGCGATCGCATTTGCGATCGCAAAAACGACATCGTTGCGCGGATTCGTCGCTCTACGGAGCGACCGTTGTGCGAGGCACCACTGTATTAGCCAGGGCTTAGCCCTTGAGCTGCTGCAGGTGTAGGCAGGTGTGGCTCCTTGAGTGCTTTTAGCTCTTCATTCCCATCATCTCCAGCCACTGCAGCCAGTGGTGAGGAGATATGGGAGACGATGCCATCCAAAAACATCTGCAGGGACCACATCTGTCCATCCCTCACCTAGAGCTTTCATTTAGTACTGTGAATTACCAGCATAATATTTGAAAAACTGTAAAGAAATATTGTTAATGCTTTTTTTTTAAAAGAATATATTCATTGACTGAAATCCATGCATAGGTTACAACTCAAGCACTTCTGTTAAATCAGTGAGGATTTGGTGAGTCAGTTCCTCCGTAATTACCATTGATTGAGTGGGTCTGTACTAGCTGCAACTTATTGCTGGATTTCAACCAGAGTATATTAAATTGAGAATATCTTCTGTTCGGTCTATGATTTTAATTAACTTTATATCGTTACTGTTTCATAGTGCAGCAGCTACACGTAATCAAAATGATTTTCAGTGCAATTGACTTAGGTGTCCTGTTCATCCCCTGATCTTTGCCCTCCTGCCATGCAACATGTCTCCTGAACTTGATTTCGTGTTTCTTCTTGGTGCAGCCTTGGACAGTATAGGTTTAGAAAAAGAGAGAGGCAGAGAAATACAAACTGGTGCAGGACCTACTGTTTCACATGCCGGCACCCATTTGGTTATGTTATATGATGCTTTGTTTTAGCAGTGGTGTGTGTGTCATTATGTACAGTATATGTATGGATTTTTAAAAGAAAAATATTTGGTCTGCACACAAAAAGTCAGAGCCATTTTGCGGTGAAAAAAAATATGCACCCAAAGTTCTGGGCAACTCCTAAACTGTAGATGCTTTTCATACACCTGAGAACCAGAGTCAAAGTGGAAAATAAGGGTGTTGGGTATCTTGCTATATGCATATGAATGAAACTCCTGCTACTGTATATTTTTTGAGGTTGAGCTGTGCACTGGGATCTGATTCTGGGACTGAATCCTGAGAGATGAATTCCGCTTCCAATTCAGCCTTGCCCTCATGCCCTAAACAGATCTCTCCAGTGTCACATATATGTGTTGTTACATTTTCATCTTCCTCCTTTCCAGGCTGTGGCTCATGATATTTATACAGACTTGATTGAGGATGCATGCCTGGGCTTGTGTTTTGAGGTGCACCGAGCTGTCAAATGTGGCTACTTCTTTCTGGATGACACAGACCCTGATAGTATGAAGGACTTTGGTGAGTGCGTATTTGTAGCCAGTAATTCTTTTCATGCATGTTTTCCAGGAAATTAGTGTAGGATCTAAGCTGTACTGATTCCAGTGCATTGGATCCAGACCAGTCCTTAGATGAGATATGTACTCAATCTGTACATATGTACAAGCATATCTGTTAAGTATTTTGTTTTAAACATAGATAGTTTTTTAAAAGGCCGTTACCCTTTCTCTGCTCTTACTTATTTCTGCATTCAGCATCTACTTTGCCTTCCAAAGTGAGTGCTTTGAACAGCCAGGCATTTGGACTGCCTGCTGAATTATATACAGTATTTGGAAATACCTAATGTTTGAATATAGACTACATTGTAACAAAGGCAAAGAGCACTTCAGCTGAAAGAAATGGCACCACAGTGGTTTTGGATAAATGAAGGTACAGTGGTGCCCTGCTAGACGATTACCTCACAAAACGGTTAATTCACTAGACGATGAGATTTTTGCGATCGCTATAGCACTTCGCAAAACGGTGTTTCCTATGGGCGATTTTCGCTGGACGATGTTTCGGACGTGCTTCGCAAGATGGGTGTGTTTTTTTCGGGATCAATTTTCGTAAGACGACGATTTTGACAGCTGAGTCCGCAACTCACAAAACGGGTGTTTTGGGGACCGTTTTTCGCAAGACAGTGATTTTGACAGCTGATCTGCGCTTCGCAAAACGGTGTTTCCTATGGGCAATTTTCGCAAGACGACGATTTTTCCCCTTTGGAACGCATTAAACGGATTCCAGTGGGGAACCGCATTTTGCAAGACGATGTTTTCACAAGATAGCGATTTTTGCTGAATGAATTAACATTGTCTTGCGGGGCACCACTGTATATTTACATGCTGTAAAGGGAGATAGAAACTTCCCAGGATCTACAACCAGCACGAGTCTTAGAGATTGGAGTCTTAGACATAACTAGAAGCCAACATGGATTGTCAAGAACAAATCCTGCCAGACTAATCTTAACTTATTTGTGGACCGGATAACTCCCCTGGTAGATGGTGGGAATGCTGTAAACATGTATCTTGACTTCAGCAAAGCTTTTGACAAAGTGCCACATTATATTTTGATTAGCAAATTAAGGTGTGGGCTGGATAGCAGATGTGTCAGATGCATACACAGTTGGTTACAGAATCGTGCTCAGAGAGTGGTTGTCAATGGCTCCCTCTCAAACTGGTAGGAAGTAACAAGTGGGGTGCCATAAGGCACAGTCATGGGACTGTGCTCTTCAACATTTTTATTAATGACTTGGATCAAGGAGTTCAGGGAATACTTATCAGATTTGCAGATGACACAAAATTGGATGGAATAGCTAACACCTTGGAAGACAGGAACAGAATTCAAAAATATTTTAATAGGCTGGAGAACTGGACTGAAAACAACAGGATGAAATTTAACAGGGACAAGTGCAACGTTCTACACCTAGGGGATGGGAAACCCAAATGTACAGTTACAAGATAGAGGATACTTGGCTCAAGGACACTACAAGTGAGAAAGATCTTGAATTGCTGCAAATCACTAGCTGAATATGAGCCAACAGTGTGATGGGACTGCAAAAAAGACAAATGCTATTTTAGGCTACATTGACAGAAGTATAGTCTCCAAATCCCATGAAGTACTAGTCTGCTTCTATTCGGCACTGGTTAGGCCTCATCTTGAGTACTGTGTTCAGTTCAAGACATCGCATTTTAAGAAGGATGGCAACAGATTGGAAGGATTATCAGGGTACTGGAAGCCAGAGGAATGACTTGGAGACCAGTGTGTGTTTAGTTTTGAATAAACAAGACTGAAGGGAGATATGATAGCACTTTTCAAGTATTTGAAAGGTAATCATACAGAGGAGGGGGACAGATCTATTCTCAAGCATCCCAGAGTGCAGGATGCACAACAATGGGCTCAAGTTAAAAGAAGCCAGATTTTGGTTGTACTGTATATCAGGGAAAACCTTTTGGCTGTTAGAGCAGTATAACAATGGAACCAATTACCTCGGGAGGTGGTGAGTGCTCCAACGCTGGTGGCATGCAAGAGAAAATTCGACAACCATCTGTCAGATCTGCTTTGATTTGGATTCCTGTGTTGAGCAGGGGTTGGGCTCAATGATCTTATAGGTCACTTTCAACTCAATTATTCTGATTCCTGTGTTGAGCAGGGGTTGGGCTCAACTCAATTCTATGAATCTGTGATCACTTAGAAACTTGCATTTATGCCGCATTTTCACTTCCACATGTTACACCTGCTGTGCAGAAAAGGGAAGAGCAGATTGCATGTTCTGATATTTTAGATAACAATGTTGCTAGTCTTTGCATTTGAAATGAAGAAAAGCTAGCCTAATAATATTGTTTTAGGGGGGAAGGAGGATGATTTTACATAGTCAGGATGGGATGTGAGGCAGCAGCTTTATTTGATTCCGAGAATGTGAGGAGCTGAGAATTCTGCTAGCTGGAGGAGGGGAGGCAGTTAGGGGTTCAAAGTAAGGGACAGCTATCGAGAGTGCCCGATGTAGCAAAAATGAAGGATACAATGAATGGAGTCTTCTAGAATCTGAATTATTGTTTACTTGAAAGATGATCCTCGACAGCTTTGACAGTTTAACATTTTGTTTAATGATACCCGACAAGATGCACATTTTATGTGTCCCCAAAGAATCTGTCAGTCCATCCACAGACTTTTACGTAATAGGTCTGTGGCTCCTTTCTGCTACACAGATACCTGGAAGGAAGAAGGGACCCAGTTCTCTTCTAAATGTTTCCCTGCTTGGTGATCTGGGGCTCTTTCCAGCAACCATGAAAAAGGACTTGTAGCACCTATTCTCTGAAGCATCCTTTCCTCCCAGAAGTAAGGTGGCCAAAATCCTCTTAGTGATGTACATTAGTTATAAATTATATTGCATCACTCGCTGCAGAAATCGCTACTAACTAGGCATGCCTGATTGCACAACATGCACCAAGTAATGCAACCAGCACCTTGTTTGTTAACAGCAGTTCATTGCAGAGAGCTGGGCAATTTTACTGGACACACCTATAAATCACCATCAGGATTCTGGACACTATGTTCATTCTCTTACAATTTCAGAGCATGCTGATAACTTTTTAAATTCCTCCATGACAAAAAATCTGACTTATGGCACCTGTCATTTTGTTTCTTTACCTATAGTTGTTGTCATGTGACCCTAATAGGGTTTTCAAGCTATTTGGGATATCTAAGGAGGCAGTTTTACCATGACCTCTCCAGTGAGCTTCCATGGCCATGTAGGGATTTGATTCCAGGTCTCCTGAGTCCTCTCCTAATATCGAAGCCATCACACTGTGCTAGCTTTCAGTTGCCTATAGCCACTAATAACAACAGTTGTCCTTTGTTTCTAACTATTTTTGTTTTTAAATGAACATGGGCCTATGATCAAATACTAATGAAGGAAGGAAGGAATGCTTTTAAAGGTTACCATTGTTGACTGCCTGGTTATGTTGCATATGACATAAAGTATGTAAATGTTTTTAAAACTAAAAATGTTGAATATGAGAACAGAAAGCCGAAAGTACAGATAAGGGCAAAGAAACGTGATGGCATGAGTCCCTTCTGTATCCCACCTTTTGTGGATTGGAACCATTTTGCATTCTACAAGTGACTGCTTCTCCTTCAACAGTTCAGAGGTCTGTGTATAGGCAGAGGATGAAGCTGGTCTGGCTGCACTGATGGTGATTCCTCTGTAGACCTCTAGCTACCTTGGGTTCTTTTTAAGGAGAAGGACTAGATAAAAATATTTTAAATAAATAAAATAAATAATAATAATAATGCCAATCTTAAAAGGAATACACTTTGTGTTCCCCTTTGGGTCTGAACTCTCTTCTGTCAATGATTGCCTTGCCCTTCCTAGGCATGTAGATCTTTTCCTGTCTATACCTCTGCAAAGAGATTATCTCTGTCTCTCTTCCCTCTCTGTCTACAGAAATTGTAGACCAACCAGGGCTGGATATCTTTGGGCAGGTCTACAACCAATGGAAGAACAAGGAATGTGTTTGCCCAAATTGCAGCCGAAGTATTGCCGCCTCCCGCTTCGCCCCACACTTGGAGAAGTGCCTCGGGATGGGCCGGAACAGCAGCCGCATTGCCAATCGGAGGTGAGGTTTTGAACAAGAGAAATAATAAAATCACAGCTTTCGGAGCAGGAGAGGTCTGGAATGAGATTGCTGGGAGCAAGAAGAAGTGCAGTATATTTTAGATTGTCTTTCCGTTCCCAGAACTCTAGCCTATTAAGGTTGCCCATGTCCTGTACCTAAATCAGTGTTTACATTCTTTGCCACAATACCCCCAAATTCTGAACCACTAAAAAGATGCATTTGAAAGTGGAATATCACTACTTTTCCTTCTGTTAGTCATGGGTGGAGCTGATGAAAGGCAGTGGAGAAGTAATCTTTGCTAAACAGAACTCCCTGCCTACATGCCATGTTTATCCCCACAACAGAAAAACCCTCATCTTGCTGATGCTGCTGCTCAAACCTAAACAGATATGATCTGTTTCAAGCTCAAGTTTTGCAACCTTAAAAGCAAGGGAGCATTTTTAATTATTAAAGCAAGAAACTGGTCATCATCAGGATGCACAAGATTGAACCCAGAACCAGATTCTATACTCTTGTGGCATGATTGGGAAATACATGCAACCCAAATCAATAGCTGTGAACTTTTGTTCTGATCTTATCTGGTGTTGTATCCTGACTAACAGGCAGTACAGGCAGTCCCAGGTTCAGATCTTGCTTTTGCTTTGACCTTGACAAATCTAGATGACTTACAGAAGGTACTGTTATCTATCTTCCCTGCTCCTTTCCTATATCCACACCACAGTCTGCAAGATGGGGTTGATTATACCAACCTGCTTTACTGGGTTATTTAAAGAATTGGTGAGAGGTTTCACACAAAGTGCTCTGAGTGCTTAAAAATGTCTTTAAGTGCTTAGAACCATGAAAAGGCCCTGTTCAGCAGTACAGGAGCTTACTTGATTTATATTTGACTCTTCTTGCTTTATCACATCTACAGGTTATTTCAGGTTTTTTTTATCTTAAGGGAACCTTTTCTCAATTTCCTTTTTGGGAAAAGATCCCAGACCACACTCCAGAAGATTTGGGGGCTTGTTTTAAGGTGTACATCAGGGGTCTCTAACAGGTGGCCCAGGGGCCATTTGCGGCCCGCCGGATGATAGTTTGTGACCCCCGCCTTGCCTACCCCCCCCCGAAGTACCCACGCGTCCTCTGCTGTCAAAAGTCAAAAAAAGCCTTGCTCGCAAGCTCTTTCTCAAGACAGTGCCTCTTGCACCCTCCATCCAGAACTGCGGCCTGCCAGCTGGCCCACCTGTCTGCACTGCCAGCCCTTTCCCTGAGCTCCTGAGCCGATGGCTGAGAGTGGAGCTTGCTCCCAGCCTGTCCTCGAAGAGTACCTCCAAGCCGCCAACAGCAGCTGCCGCCTCTTCCGGGGAAGCGGCTCTCTGGCTCTCTTTCTCTCTCGGCACCCCCAGCACCAGCCTGGCCGGCAGCTGCCTCAGCACACAGCGGTGCTTCCTCCTTCTCCTCCTCCTCTTCGTCCTGCTTCAGCTGCCTTGGCTCTGGAGCCTGCCTGGGCTCGCCTCGCAAAGTTTGCTCCTCCGTTGTGGTGGTGGTAGTTGCTGCTGCTGAGTGCGCCTTTTTTTGAGGGGGCCCCTCAGAGGAAGGTTAGTTTGCTCCTCTGTCATGGTGGGGGTAGCTGCTGCTGAGTGTGCCTTTTTTTTTGAGGGGGGCCTTCAAAGGAAGATTGTTGGACCTCCGTGCATGTGTGTGTTTGCCCTGTTCTGTTTAATTTTGCGGGTACCGGTGGGGGTTTTTCTCCTTTGACAAGGCGAATTCTGTGAGGGTTTTTTTTTAATTTTATGTTGTGCCATCCCCCCCTCCGCTAGGCAGTCGCCAGCACTCCCTCCCTTCTCCGCTTCTTTGTTCTGCTGGTGGTGCTGGTAGTGAAGAAGGAGCCGGAGGGGGTCGTGGCTGGCGACGAGGGCTCATGTGCCCCTCCTCCTGCTCCTCGGAGCCGCAGCCGGGCTAAGGTAACTCCTGGGCGACTTCCTCAGGCTCTTGCTCCGCTTGGCGGAAAATCTGATGCGGCCCAGCCTCACCCAGACTCTGCCTCCAGCGGCCCCCAGGTAAATTGAGTTTGAGACCCCTGGTGTACATGCATAGTTTGTGTAACTTGTTTGCTTTTGGCATGTATTTGTCCTTATCATTGCTTTATGGGGAGGAAGACTTTGCCATATACGACCCTAAGCACTCTTTTGCAGCTATAGGTTGCAAAGAAAAATAATTGTGATGGGAAGTGCTCTATCAGAGAAGAACATTCCTTAAGTTGCACTGTTTGTGCCATCACTGCTCTAAATAATGCTTCTGCCCCGATTGCTGCAAAACAACTTACGTTTCTTTTCTGCCTCTTGCCATTGTTAACAGGATAGCAAGCAGTAACAATATGAACAAATCTGAGAGTGACCAAGAGGACAACGATGATATAAATGATAATGACTGGTCATATGGATCTGAGAAGAAAGGTATGCTAGGGTGAGGTTTCTGCATAGACACAAGGAATTTTAATGTATGTACACATGCACTCAAGTAAAGAGGAATGGGAGTAGCTATTGCTAACAGGAGTCTTTTGCTTTAATTTTAATTCATGCTGAATTTGAAGGCTTAAGCTATCAAAGGCTGGAAATATGCTATAGTATAGGAGGTACTATATAAGATGCCTATACAGTGGTACCTCGCAAGACGCTGACCCAGCTAAACGACAAATCCGCATAACGATGACTTTTTGTGATTGCTATAGTGATTCACAAAACAGTCATTCCAATGGGGGATTTTCGCTGGACGTCGATTAGGTTCGTGCTTCACAAACCGTTTGTTCGCAAGACAACGATTTTTTCCGATGATAGTCGGCTTTGCAAAATGGCTGCCCTGTGTTTTCCAGACCATGCTTCGCAGGGCAGCCATTTTTAGAGCTGATCGGCGATCACAAAATGGCTTCCCTGTGGGCAATCTTCACTGGATGACAAGGTATTTTCCCCATTGGAATGCATTAAACTGGGTTTCAATGCATTCCAATGGGGAAAGGGTTTTTGCATGACGACAATTTCGCTAAGCAGCGATTTCAATGGGACGGATTATTGTTGTCATGTGGGGCACCACTGTATATTACCTCCTGTATTAGAGGCATCGTTGAGGTTGCTGGGGAGCAATGCCAGAGGTAGCCATTGTGCTCAGGTTCTGCTCAGTTGCTGTCCAGAGGCAGCTGGTTGGTCATCTCTAGATTGGTGGGCTAGGGAGGCCTTTGGTCTCATCCAGCAGGATGTTTGCTATGGCCTGGCATCTGAGAGTTTGTTAGTACCTGGGACTGCAAAGCAGAAATGGTCTTATGAAGGGGCAAAAGAGTGCCGCCTGATGAGTTTCAGGGTACTGTCAATGAGAATGGACAGCTTTCATTCTCCTTCCTCCTCCCTACACAAGAAGGGTAGAGTAAAGGGTTGCCAACTGGCACTTATAGGCACTAGCTGAGCCTGGTCTTCTGGATCAGTGAGCATCAGATGAGAGCCCCTTGTTCTACTTGAACAGGGATTCCACACAGATTGATTTACAGAGCATATTGATCAGAACTTTTGTATACTTTTTTTTCCCTACTGTGGTATTTGTTTGATCCTTTAGTATTGAATACTCACTGCTGTTAGCTTTATATACAGTCTTTTAATGATGTAAGCTGCTTTGGGTCCTTATTTAAGGAGAAAGGCAGGGTAAAATATTTTAAATAAATAAATGAAATAAGAACTGACCCATGAACTGAGAGGACTTTGATCTGTTTGGGTGATAGTATGTTAAAGTAGCTCCCTTTTCTTTCCTCCATTCTAGCAAAGAAGAGAAAATCGGATAAGGTATGATCTTTTTCTTAACATGGGCATGGCTGATTTAAGGTATGCATTTCTGAATTTTTTGCAAATGGAACAGTCAGCATTAGGGGAAAAACCAAAACATACATCCTTTGTAAGTGTGAGCAAACCTGTTTGTTTCTGTCGGTTTTCATTATCTTGTCCTACTTGCAGAAGTTAGGTTGCTAACTCCTGGCAGCCTTGGGTTGGAGGAGTGCAGAGTCAATTCATGGAAAGGGCTGAATCCTTTAGAACGACCCAGTAGGGACTGTAGTTTACATCCAGAGTCTACTGCACTGCTTCTCAAACTTGGGTCCCCAGATGCTTTTGGATTACAACTCCCAGAAATCCTGGCCAGCACAACTAGTGGTAAAGGCTTCTGTGAGCTTTAGTCCAAGACTGGGAACCTCTGGTCCGGTGGCTTCTCTGGAAGAATAGGCTCCTAACCTTCACTGCTGTGGCTTGTTCCGCAATTCTGGAGGTCTTGCATCTGACACCATTTGGCTTGGTTTGCTTGAGGTGTCAAATACTGCTAGACCATACAGAAAAAAGCAAAATGGAAGGTTTCCACATGCGCAGAAGTTATGTTTATATTTCTCTACAGTTCAAAAAGAAATCCTCCTTCCAGCTTGAAACATTGATCTCCAACGCAGTTGCTAGAAAGTTTTGTAAACATGCTTCCTTGTGCCACAAAGCTTTCTCCTTTAACTGCTAGGCATTTTACCAGCACTATTGGCTGTGGCACCTTATGGTGAGGAGGGCTGGATTTATTAGGCTGGATGTTAATCTTTTTCAAGGCGAGTAATACAAACTGAATATGTAGAGTTAGTTAAATAGCTAGTAAGTTAATCTGTTTTACAAGTGGGCTCATTTTGTTTCTTCCTCCATTATTTCAGAATCCCAATTCACCTCGAAGATCCAAGTCCATGAAACATAAAAATGGTGAGTCTCTTAGAGGACAATTCCCCACCCCCCAGGATTACACTAAAATGGTTCCTTCCTCCCTCCCTCCCCTTCCCTTTCACTCTTGAGTCTGAGAGGAGATTAGCCCAAAGAATCGGAGGGGGAGACAAGGGGTTGCGCTTCATTTTGGACTATCATCAGCTCTGGTTAAGTGAAACTGCAGTAACTGAAACAGTGGATACAGGAGTAGGGGTCCTACTGTAGTATGTTAAGAGTGACCCTCCCTTGGAGGGATATGCTCCCTCGTTGTCTGGGAGTTACTGGTTTAAGAATATGCAGAGAAGAAACCAGAGGTAGAAACCCAGGATTGCGATGCATAAAGTCAGAATACTTTTTTTTTTGTCATCCTGACAAGATTTTCAACTATTGTTCAAGGACGCCATACTATTTCAAATGTATAAGCTTTTGATGACAAGAGTTTGTCATCATGTGCTGTCTTCAGGAAATGGAGTATTTTTGCCCAGGGGTCCCAGGTAGACAGGAGGTTGATGAGGAAAGCATAGTATGCATGATCCTTACACTGGTCTGTTGGTGAGAAGAGAAGAAGAAGGACTGTCAGGCTGGTTTAGTTGGGGTCTAATCGTCGCACTGGCCATGTGACCACGGAAAACTGTCTTCGGACAAACGCTGGCTCTATGGCTTGGAAACAGGAATGAGCACCGCGCCCTAGAGTTGGACCCAACTGGACTAAATGTCAAGGGGAACCTTCACCTTTAATGGACCATATATTTGGTGGCTGGGAATGCTGATTATGTCATCCTTAGTTGCTTAGGGCAGCACAATTAGATATGCTACCTTTGTGCAAAGGATAAAATCTGGATTTCACTAGTGGAGGATTTTGAGTTTGCCCTGCTTGGTAGTCAGATAGCCAGGTGAAATATGTGGGCATGTATTTAGGAGCAAATGCAAACTCTCTTGCCATCTGTTTTTGTGAATTAAGAGGTAGGGGAGAGTCTACATGTGTCCCTACTTAAGTGCGTTTTCTTTTCTTTCCTTCCCCCCCCCTTTCCCCAGGGGAGCTGAGTGGTAACCCAGACCCATTTAAGGTGAGTGTGATTTTTCACTACAGCTCTTGACCTCTTGTGCTCCTCTTCAGAGGACTTTTGGAGCCCCAGGGTTGTTTGTTTGTTTTTTGCAGTGGTTTGGTGTAGCCACTTGGAGGGATTTGAGTAGACTTTGAAGGAACAGAGCATGTGAACCAACATGAATAGAGTACGGTGCTTTGAGAGATGGGTCCCAAAAACGATTGCTCTGATTTGTGAACCGCCTAAAATACCTTGGTATGTGTATGTTCTCCTCTGTAGTATAACAACTCTGCGGGAATCAACTACGAAACACTTGGCCCTGAGGAGCTCCGTACTTTGCTCACTACGGTGAGTACCTAACTGAATTCCCCTGTTGCCTGTCGCTGTTTATATACAATCATCTCCTATATGCAGCAAAGGCCATGGATTTGAAGCCAGTGGGTTTCTCTCTGACCGTCTTCCTTTGCTCAACCACTTTACACCAGTGACAGTGGATGCTCATGTAACTGACCATCCAGGTTGCTCGCTGAATTTGCAATTTTAATTCTAAGTCTAACCAGTCCCTGCTCACCACAATGCTGTTTTGGTTCAGATCATCTTTGTGACATTGCATCAATTAAACCAGCATTGGTGAGGGGAGATGTAAACTAAGCTTCACTGTGATTTTGGTAATACTTAGCATTAATTGGCTATGGTCATTACTAGCTTGATATTTATTCAGGCTCATCAGTGTGTGGGTTACAGTACAGAACAAGAAATAGCCAAGGGAACTCTGTGAGCAGTACTTTGCTGAATTACATTCCAAGCCCCAAAGAAAAAACGAGGCAGCAGGACTGTCTGACAACTGGGCAATCGTAGTGGCTAGTACTGTAATGATGGATGTTTAGGTGAAGGGTGTGTGCATTTCAGATATAGGCATGCACACCTCATGTCCTCATTGAAATGGCACCCAAACCCCCCATGCAGGTATATTCAGGTTCTCTTACACTGTTTTCCTGGAGAGGCAACAAACATGGCAAAGATAATTGGCTTCCCCTCTGAGGTGAGTTGCTTTGAGCAGGTACACACCTCTGTCTCTCTATAGTCTACATAGTCAATAGGCCCATGCTCAGGTTTTTTGAGAACATGTGCTGCCCCCTCTGGATCTCACATTTACCAGTTTCCAGGTAAATGATAATGGATCAGGCCCATAATAATTCTTTTTTCTTCTTTTTCTTATCCTGTTGACCATGGTTATACATTTGTCTTTCCCAGCGGGCTTGATTACACTGCTGGGAATTACTTTTCCTGAATTTAGAACAATGTTTTGTTGCTTTTGGTAGCCAGAGCTCATTTTGCACTCCCAAAGATTTCCTTTCTGGGTGCAGTTCCAGACTGGGAGAAAGCAAGTGTAGAACAGTGACGTATGCAGAGGTGAGATCAACTCCCCTGAGGGTGGGTTTAGAGGAACTTGACATGTAATTTCTCATGTTATTCTTTCAGTTCTCTCATGCTACATTATTGGAGCACTTGTGATGAAATTCCTGTCTGAAAGGGTTAGCCTGCTCCTAGAACTCAGAAAAGTAACTTTTTGACTACAACTCTCAGTATTCCCCAGCCAGCAATAGCCATGCTAGCTAAATGGTTATAGGAGATGTAGTAAACAAACACTTCCCAAGTTCTACCTACTCCTTTCATACCTGAACCCTCAGTGAAGTTTGTCTTTTGTGGTTTGCTCATGCTGTATGTCCCTCTTTCTGTAGCAATGTGGGGTGATCTCTGAACACACCAAGAAGATGTGTACACGGTGAGAGCAGCCCTCCCTTCCACTTTCTTCAGCCCTGTAATTTTTCAGTTCCTCTGCCAGTGCAGCAGTTTCCAGGTCTAAGGAGAACAGGAGGTATTCAGAAGCTCACACAATTTGGGGTGGAAATCCAGGCTAATTGTGTGTCTGATTGGAAAGGACATGCACCCCCCTGATCTTTTCATTGCTATTAATGCAGAATAGGATTGAAGGTCAGGGAAGTGTATCTGCAATTGGATGAACTTACAAACTGCCTGTTTCCTGGGTGAACTATCCTTCTTAGTAAAGTTGCAAGAAAATGTTTGAAGTGGAAGCGAGCGAGGTGTTCTTCCTGCAACTGTTTAATTCAGCCTTGCGGCTTTGTTTTGCTGGTTTGCCTGTGGAAATAGTCTCCTTGGTAATCATTTATGATGCATTACCAGTTTGAAAAAGACCACTTCTTTACGAGTGTTCAGAATTTCAGTGCCTGCTGACTTGGAAGAGATTCTTGCCTTTCCACAATGAACCAAGCAAATGGCTTCAACCACTGTAGTGTGGCAGATTCAGGCAGCTGGGAGTGATGTAGAAACTGCTAAAAACATTCTATGTTATTCCTCTGCCAAGAAAAAGGTAAACTAAACTCAGTGGGACACTGTTCTGTATAACTTCCTGTATTTCAATGGTCTGGAAGGGTCACAGAAGCCCTGTGTCTCAAGAAGTATAAATCCTGCTTAGCTCCCTCACTTTTGATTTCGTCCACACTTGCTCACCTCCCCAAGTTGCAAGTTGCAGGTTCGCTTTTAAAGAAATCAAACGTTCTTAGAATGTTGTATTTTGTACCTGCTTCCAAAGTGTTATAAAACATATGCAGTCCTGGGTTTCCTATAGGGGCAGGGTACCTGTCTTTTCCTGGGATGACCATAGAAAAATTAGTAAAATGTTCCAGCATTTCATAGAATTATAGAATCACAGAATTGGAAGAGACCACAGGGGCCATAGAGTCCAATCCCCTGCCATGCAGGAACTCCAGCAAAGCAATCCTGACAGATGGCCATCCAGCCATTTAATTATTGGTTTGCCCCCACTTTTAGAGGCATTGTCAAGTCTCCTTTTCTGGAACATAGATGTGTTTAGCATGATAGGAAATGAGTTAAAAACAAACATACATTTTATTGCCAGTGCTCCCTCTGACGTTGTCCTTTGTCTTCAGGTCACTACGCTGCCCCCAGCACACGGATGAACAGCGGAGGTCAGTCAGGGTCTACCTCCTGGGACCCTCTGCGTAAGTGTGATGGGATGGAGGCAGGGCAGATGTGATACTGAACACTCCTAAACAGATAGTGGCTGAAATCCTGTTCCTGAGCATAGTAAGTCACAACTCGAGTAAACCATTGAATTTGTGGATCAGCTGTTCTAAAAATTCAATTGCTTCCATGAGCCTACTCTAGTTGCAACTTATTATGGTAAGCAGCAGGATTTCAGCCAGTATGGTCAACACACTTCCAGCTGGGAAGAGCTTGGAGAAGGGTTGTGGATATAGTCTGTGCTTTTAAAAAACGTTGAATTCTGCAACCCTGATAAACTCTGCAAATTGGAAAATGTTCTTTATCTTAGCAAGGAACTATTGCATATACATGACCATTGGAAATATCACTGAGATCTCAATAAATAGTGTCTGCGTGCTGCTAAGTCTATTTTTGTAGCTGCACTTCCTTGGACTTGTGGCATATACATAACCCTGCCCAGGTTGTTTCTTGGATGGAGTCCATCCTTGTTTAATAGCATCTCTGACTAGCAAACCTATTGAATAATCTTATCCTTCAGGTATGCTTCCACAATGTAAATTTTTGCACTGAAGAGTTAAAATTCTTTATACAATCACATGGAAACCATTTACAGAAAGCTTTTTGCATAATTTCACTTCTGTAGAGTGGGAATGAGCTCTGAATTGCATTTGAAGTCTTTCTATCCTAATTTCACAAAAACTATACTCATCTGATTTTTCTTTCATTTCCTCAATTTCCCTCAGCACTGTGTACCAGTTTTAAAACATAGCTTTCAGCCACAAAGGAGTAGAAAATACTCTTTTTAAAAAAAACAGTGCTGGCATCATATATGTAAGATCATGTTGATTCTATACATCATGTGAGGAAATCTGAAATATTCTAAACTGAATATCCCAAAGTACTCAGTGGAAATAGCTAATTGGCAAAGTAAAATTGAGTATTATTGCTTGGATTACCGGATCTTAAGCTGAATGTGGCCCAGTTCTGTCTGCAGAAATCAGCCAAAATGAATGAGGAGGAAAGGTGTGGTAGACAAACTGTGTGTTCTGTGAGGTGTTTTTTTTTCCTGGTTTGGTTTTGTCCTCATCATCATAGGCATCCTTCAGTCTCGAGAGACTATGGTAACATGCTCTGAATCGAGGAGTGTACTCTCCAGAGCATGAAGCCTGAGTAAAGTTATATGGAGAATAGGCTGTTACCCAAGCAGCAGATCCCCCCTCTCCACGTTGCTGAAATAATCCAATGCAAAGGCAAAAGCCAATACAACTGGTTTCAGCGACGTCGCAGGAGTTGGCAGAATGACACAAACTGCCTTCGGGACTCCAGCTCCAGATTTTGTGTCTAGGTTAACTCCTGAAGCCTTTTCCATCAGTGGATATAGCCACAAGGCAGTGGAGGTTTGAAATCGGAGTTTTCCTTCTCCTAGATGGGCTGCCTTCCATGACAACACACCAAAGTGACCATTTTAACCTATGAACAAAGTTGGAGTACAGTTTATTTTCTATTCATTTTTGAATTAAGGAAAGGTGTGGTAGACAAACTGTGTGTTTTGTGAGGTTTTTTTTTCTGGTTTGGTTTTGTCCTGGAGACTGTTAAAAGCAGGAAGCCACTGCTACCATTCTTTAACTCCTGAAGCCTTTTCCATCAGTGGATATAGCCACAAGGCAGTGGAGGTTTGAAATCGGAGTTTTCCTTCTCCTAGATGGGCTGCCTTCCATGACAACACACCAAAGTGACCATTTTAACCTATGAACAAAGTTGGAGTACAGTTTATTTTCTATTCATTTTTGAATTACTGGCTAATTACTGGGCGTTGAGACTGTTAAAAGCAGGAAGCCGCTGCTACCATTCCGGTGGGTTGTCTCGTTGCTTCTTTTCTTCTCATGCATCTGCCCCTTTTCCTAGCTCACTTCCTGAAACGGAAGGAAGCGTGGAGAATGACAGTTTTGATGTGGCGGAAAGCCAAGCCCTCATGAGTAGACTGCAGTGGGATGGAGCTTCAGACATCTCTCCCTCTGACTCTGCCTCCTCGAAAGCAAGTAAGGATTCATATTGGTACCTGTGCAGATTAAGTCTCAGCGGTGGATACTCTGGGCTGCACTGGGGTGGTATTTACTTCATGTTGTAAAACATCTGCACCCATATTTTAAATCATGTGATCTGTAGGGGCTGAACAGTATATTTGCATAGTTTTCTTTGTGTTACATTTTGTTAGACAGAATAGGAGGAACAAGGTCAAGAAAGCGCTGGCTGCTGGGAATTGTGGCATATTTGTGACATTCCTACCTACTCGCACCCACCTGTTGAGATTTTGCCAGGATTTGTCCACTGTGTGTCCTTCTCAGCCTGTCTATTTAGCCATAGAAGCTAGAAATCTTTTCAGAAGGATTTGTTTTGATTACGTTTGATAAGTCCCACAAAACCGATCTTTACTGTTGCATCTCCTCTGATGGACAGCAGTATAATGGCTGAGCACCATAAATTTCACTGGCATCCCTTCTTTACAGAGAATTCTGCTACACTGAGGGAATTGATGGCAGATTAAGTCAGTGTGGCAAGAGTTCCCGGTAAACAGGACAAGGGTGGATAACCTCCATGTGTTCTTGGACTCCTACTCCCTTTCGCCCAGGTGACATGGCCAATGATGAGGAATGGCGGGAGTTGTAGTTAAATATTTGGATATCTTAGGTTTCCGACCCTTGTGTAGACAGGTAGAAATCCACAGCTATATGCTACATCATGGAAGAAAACAGAGGCAAGAAGAAGAGGATTAAACACAGGAGGCAGGATAGTAAATGGAGGCTTATGGGCAATGGACCAACACTAGAGAGTTCGAAGAACTCGGGTGCGGGGGAGGGAAAGAGATAAAGACTGAATTGCCCTATAACAGTAACACTGAGCTGAAAAGTGCATGTGTGAAATTATGGCCATGATCAAGCTCCCCAAACACAATGAAAGAATGTTCAGCTATCTTTTTTTTTTCCCTGTCAAGGGCTATGTTCCCTTCTGGGCCAGGTGTCTGAAATCAGCTGGACTGAAGCTAGTGGTTGCTTACATAAACACAAAAGTAGACAAGACCACCTCTTTTTTTTCCTGCATCATCATCTTCCCACCTAGTATATGCGGCTGGGAAAGGAGTAGATCATCTCAGACAGGCCAGAATCAATCAATTGCATGGGTTTTTTAAATCAGACTCAGGACCACATGAGATCAGAGCAAGGACCACAGATTGCCCACCTCATTCTCTATGGGTGCAGTTTATATATTTGGCTAAAGTCTCTTGAATGGATCATACTGAAACCATCCTCATGTTTACAAATAGGCCATAGGCTTAACATGCCACAGACTTAACCAATTAAAATATATTGCTTCAAACCCGGAAGTTGTCAGTGGAGGTGGTATGTGTGTTTTATCTGACAATCATCAGGCCATTCTTATGTCAAAGGGGTTACATATACCTGATTGTGTTCCAGGAAATGGAGTACAGGGGAAAGCATATCTGGATAGCAAAACTGAAGATCTTGATATGGAAAAGAGTAGGGGGTGACAAGGTGTTTTCCCTGTACAAGGCCCTACATGCAGCTTTCTTCTTCCTGACCTAGGTACAAACAACTCAGAGTCCCGAAAAACCAAAAAGAAGAAACCGCACATGAGCCTGGTTGGAGGTGCTCCAGGAATGAGCTCCAGTAAGAAGAAACTGAAGCCAAAACCACTTGCACCTCCCACTCCCAGCCTTTACGACGACATCAACTGAATTATGCTGGGATGAGGAAAAAATGAGCCAGGGATGTGCCCCAGCACCCTTCAGACACAGTTCATGGGAAAGGAGCTGGATTGTGTCTTTCATGCACTCTCTCACATATACTTTTTTTTTTAAGAAAAGAAAAAAAAATAACTGTGAAAGAGAGATGGCTGCATGTTTCCCCTTCTCAAGCCTCCCACACTCATGTGCACTTGACATGGCACAGAAGAAACAGACTGCTTTGGAGCGCCCACCTCTTCTGGAGAAAAGGGGTGGCAGTGATTTGAGGCACCTTCCAAATGGACCATGCCTCCACGCATCAAGGGGTAGCCATTCTCCATCCCTCCCCTCCCCGATTCAACACGTCTATTTATTGTGATGTTAATGGATGTTCAATCATGACTATATATATGGTGGCATTGTGTCGCTTAGCAACTCTAGAGACTGACTGGGCAGGTTGGGAGGTATGCACAAATGTGTGTGTGTGTGTATGTATGTATGTATGTGTGTGTCTGCCTGTGGCCATTTGTTCTGGTTTCGAAGGGAATTAAAGGGCCTGTGCAGGAATGGAGAAAGGCTGGTGCCCTCCAGTGCCTGCCTCTTCCCTCTTAAGAGTATCTGCTGCAGTGGTCTCCTTTTTTTTGTCACAAGACGTGGCATGAGATTCTTGAGTTGGCCTTTTCCTCTCAGAGCTTTCACAGCATTCTGTTTTTTCAGAAGGTTGGTTCTGTAGCTGCTGGTCTGCCCTGCGCCTTGAGCATCATGGCCATCCATGGATATCTGTGCTGAGTATATCAGGGAGGGACAAATATGTTTGGAATGATGTTGCTACTTTCACAGTTAGTCCCTTTGCATATGGTGTCCACTTCATCATCTGTAATATTTCAAGGATTTTGTATGAAGCAGCATTAAGAATGGTTGTGATAATATGGACACTTCTCCCAGTGCATGCATGTCAGGAATCGAGTGCAGTCCTTGATGTCTTAACGTGTGGACTGGGCTCAAATCTACATTTGCCCAAACCTGACAAGCAGCCAGTATTTGAACACTCACAGTAATTGCTCTATCCTCCTCTTGAACGTAAGTATGAATCTTCTTTGTGCCAGAAAAGTGGCTGGTATATCCGAATGTTGAATTTTAAAACAGCTCTACTTCATACCCCATAGAATAGGCTCACAGAGGCCAGGTGGGAGAGCTGTGGTGTGGTCTGTTATGCTCAATCCTTTTCTCCCACCATATGTGTAAGGGACAGAGTTATTTGTGTTGAATCTGTCAACAGATCTAAAAAAGAAAAAAAGCATGCAGTGGAAGAAAGGAGGTGTTTTCAGGGCACTGTTACTGCTGTCTCTTTTTCATACCTCCCCATCTATTCCTGCCTCTGGTTTTATTCTTTCTACAAATTACTAAACAACGGCAGTTTTAAATCTAGTGCTATAAATCATGGTGGTCCTAAATTGTCTGAATGGAGGATTGATGTTTCAAAGCTACTTCTGGCTGTGGCTGCCTTGCAATATACATGGGTCCTTTCCTCTGTACCTTTTCCTGAATCTTAAGCTTTAGAGCTGAAAAAGGTTATGTGCTGCCCGAAAAAGGTCTGCACAAGCCACACAACTGCTGCTGCACACACACAAAGGAATGTCTTCTGCATTCTTCTCTGCTGTCCATCTCTTCCACAGAATGCAGCCCGCCTTCTCTTAGTTGTTTTATTGAAAAAGCCTGCTAAGTGCCCGTATCTGCCATTACAAAAATCCACAGCCGTCACCTCCTACAATCTTGCTGCATCACACCATTGTTGCACACTGAGCTGTGTTGACTCTAAAGGTGGCTGTGTCCCCTGTGGACCTCCTACAAGTTTCCTGGTTCTTTAAGAGGCTGTGGAGTTTCAAATCTTGTCTGTAGTGTTATCTTAGGTTACTGCAGAGCTGCTAGATCTTTGGTACCTGCAGCCACTAAACAGAGAGGACATGGGACTAACGATGGCTCCATTGTATCAGGTGTGGAAACTGAGTAGCCTATGCAACAAGTTGACCCTATCAAGATTTGATTAGGGTTTCCCCCACACACACTTCCTTTTCCGTCCTGCTCTTTGCTTCCTTGCGCTAAAGGTCTGTGATTGCTTTTGCCAAACGGGTAGGAAGCCTAGTGCTGAGATGGAATTCTCTACATCATTTGTTCAACACCTTTCTTTGCAAAATGTGACCCATTTTTTCATTTTACAGTCTGAAAAACATGTCACCATTCTCTGGAAACCAAGACTTCCTATTATGCTTTATGAAGTTTCAGAAAACATGATTTAGTATTCTGAGAAACATTTCTTACATGCATCAGACAGGTTTCTGAACTGTTTAGTCTGAATTGAATCTTTCCAAGAGGGGAAAGGGATGGTGGAGAGAGGAGAGAGACTTTGATTCTGACCAGAATCAGTTACTCCTCTCTGCTTGACAACCAGTAGCTACAGTTTAAATTTCATACCCATAAAACTTCTGGCTGCCTTGACTTACGGTATATTCTGTATAACTGCAAAGATGGCCAGAGTGAGACTAGATCTTTGCTCTGCTTCCATGTTGCAACTGAAGCATTCAGAGTTATGCTGTAGACAGCTTTGGAAGTGTAGCATCTGAGGACTTTTGAACATTCATTTCCCAGTGGGGAGAGGACACAGGTCTTTTTATATATGGCTCTGTATCTGCACTTGCACCCTTTATTTTTTAAGGTAGGCCTGTTTCACTTGAAAAAAAAAACTGTATTCTATCATGAATGGACTGATGAGAGGTTTTTTTAATTTGTTGATAATGACATACAAACTGCACCTATGTGATATTTTTGAAAGCGTGCAGAATCATTGACGTAAGTACTGTACTGTGGTCTGATTTTTTAAAATTTTCTTGTTTTGTGTATGTAATCTCAGCTTGTACAGGTAGGTAGGTAGATTTAAGAAAAACTGTCAAATCTGTAATTTTTTTTCTGCCCATCCATGGATTGTGGCATGCCTGTGTAAATAAACTGCAACTCTGCTTGGTATCTGTTCAGGTTCTTGGCTCTAATGGATAAGAAATTGCTTGCAAAGTGTCCTACATCATCTTAAAATACAGTATAGCAGGCGCATGATCTGGAGTGGTAAATAATATCCAGCCCTAATATTTCTGATGTTACAGGAAAGACTGAATACTACGAGATGTGGAACCATTGTATGTATGTGGTGTGTATGTGTGATGTGCCATGAAGTCAGAACTAACAGCAGCTCTTAATAGGGTTTTCAAGGTAAGTGGATATTAAAGGAGTGGTTTTATCAGTTCCATTCCCCCAGTGAGTTTTCATGGCTGAGTCGGGATTCAAACCTTGTTCTCCAGAGTCCTAGTGTACTACACCACACATATCTCAGGATCCTGTATAGCATCTCTGTCACCTCAGGCCAAAGCTCCTCTTTTAGGGTACAGTACTAGACAAAGGCTTTTTATTGGAAATAAAATCCAAAGTACAATTTGGCAGGGCAACATGAGGACTCACTTCTGTACATGAAAAATATATGCTACAAATATCTGTAAAAGGAACATAAAAGAGGCCTGAAAATATAACCGGCACCTGCTGCCATTTCAGAAGCCAGAGGAGTGCTTTGTTAAGTGCCTTATGCCATTGAGCTAATAAGGGTTTTGCTGAACTATGTTATCCAGGTGGCAGAAGTTCAGCTTTTTTGATACACATAGGAGCTTTTTCCAAAGTGGGGAAGTTAGTTTGAAACAATATTGTCACAGCCCCATCCACCATGGCCAATAGTGATAGCACATATATTTGAAAATCTCTTAAGGGATCCATGTTTGAGAAAAGGTCCTAGTGCTTTTGTAAATCTTACCAGAAAACAGTCTAGATCAGGCATGGGGAACCCCCAGGCCCTCCAAATGGTGAAATTCCATTACTGTATTCCTGCCCACTAGTCATAAGTACTAGAGATGCTAAGAGGTGGCAACTATCTGGTGGCCACAGGCTCCCTGCACTGGTTCCACATCATGTACAAACTTGTAAGGCTTGTGTACTTGCCAGATGCAGTGGTTTGAAAAGACACATTAGGTCGAACCCTCAGCCCTCCAAGGGTTTTACAATTAAGTTTATAGAAAATTAGTAATCAGAAACTAAAGTTATAAACTGTGACAAAAAGAGGAGTGCTCAGAATTTATATTCTATTCACTTGGAGGGGATTCTTATTTGTCATGGATGACCAGTGTAGTGGTCCCTTAAAAGGGCTCCTTCCTCTTCAGCTACAAGCAAATCTGGACAACACAGATGAAAATAAAATCATGTAAAATGGATAGATTTTAGAAGTAAAATACATTTCAGGCAACAGATGTCAAGCGCAAGTTTACTTCAACCCTTATTACTGGCAACATTTTTACAAACACCTTGATTTTATAAGCCAAAGCAGTAGTAAAAGAAATATTAAGGATTCATTTTCAGGATTGAGAAACTTACCTGGCACTGATAACTGCATCAGAAATGTTTGCTCTGCAGTTCAAGCTTATCTATGCAACAATATCTAGAAATGTAATAATTCTTGCCATTCAAAAGCAAGCTGAGTGATTTAATTTACCCATTCAGATTTTTATGTCAGCAGCATTTCTCTAATGGAAGACACAATGGAAAATACCATTAACTATTTCTTCTAGCTCTGTCTCTTGACAGTTGCAGTGAATTCCAAAAAGATACCTTTGGCTTTAATACTTTCCATAAGTATTAAGCACATGTAATATAAAAACAAAGGAAATTGCCACCCCCTATGATGAACAGTGTTCATAAATCCAGATAACAGCCAGTCTGAACTGGCAGGGACATGCTAGATTTTTTTCACACCCCCTTGGCAATTAAAAAGGGACAGAAGGCCCAGCTGATACTTCTTCCTCTAGCCAACAAGAGGTGCTCCAGGCAGGCTATCTTGGTTTACTAATTGCATTCTTACAAGTCCACATTTGCAAAGAATACTCTTTGACAAGGCCCTTTCTTCCTACAGCACAAGGATGAGCAGCTCTCTAAGGCTGGCGTACACAGTTACGCAAAGTGTGGGCAGGTATCTTCAGAACATAGCTAATACTTGTTTCCAAGATGCATGTGTCTCAGCGCATGGAAGGGAGAAGGCACACATTCCATCCATTCAACAGAGGGTAAAAAGTTACAGATAGAAAGGCTGACCTTTGTGGAGAGAGCACTAATGCATCATATTACTGCAGTGTAATTGGTCACAATGGAAAAGGATAGAAGCAGCATGTGCCAAGGTGATTCTTCCCAATGTAGCAACAAATTAAATAGGCAAATAATTAAGCCTAAAGCCCATTTTGTCTATTATAAGGCTCAGAAGACATCCAAGAATATAAGGACAGGAACGGGACTTCAGTACAATCATGCTCTAAAATGATCAGCTAGTTCCAAATCTTCATAGCTTTGAAGAAAAAAAATCAGTGACTATAGACAAATTACTTCTAAAGGCATAAAAGCCAAATAATGTGAGAGTAATGCTTGTAATGATTCAGATCAAAGAACTGCTTGGACAGATAGTGTGACAATATAGCAATCCATGCTGCCTCACTCTTCTGTATCTGTCCCAGTTTCTTCTACCATCAGTCTTCAAAAGTATTCAAGTGTGTTGGCTAACGAAAAGGTAGAAATTAAGTAAAAATTTTAAATCAAAGGGTCTGTGGAGGTTTTCCCTCTGTTAGTATAGAATTTCTGGATAAAAGCTTTTCCTGTAACTTACAGGATTAAGTGAAAGTACAAAACCAAGAGCAATCAGGCTAAAGGTAAAACTGAGAGCTCTTTCTGCTCCCTCACTAGAGCTCATCGTCCGTACATTCCAAAAATAAGGAAACTAAAAAATACAGTCACCCCAACTAAAGAAATAGTGGCAGGAGCTGTAAATAACTGTCGGTAGTTGATGCGGAAATACCAGATGACTGCCAGCATCACCATAAAAACGGGAATCATCAGGTTGCCCATGTTCAGAACGAACCCCCCTGCTTCTGAGGGTGGAGCCATTGTGTCAGGCACGGCAGAAGGAGTGGTCTGAGAGAGGTGGCAATGGATGACACAATTATCCAGGATATTGAGAGAACGAAGAGTCCGTGCCTGGTCTTGGAGAAGTTGGCCTCGGTAGATAAACTTCATCTGATTCTCCTGGCCTGGGAAGTACTTGCTTTAAAAGAAGAAACAAGTGATAAACATGTCAGTCAGAGAAAATGTTGATACAATACTTCAGAGCAAAAGTAGCCAACTTCTGGCCTCCAGGTGTTTTGGCCTATAGTGAGCATAGCCAATGGGAAGGAATTGAAAAGCTGCTGTCTAAAAACATCTGGATATCCACAGTTGGCCATGCTTGCTTAAATACCTCACTACCCACACTGGGACGCTTGCTGTCCAAACCAAGATACAACACAATGCTTTGAAAATATGCCAGAGGGAATATGAAAACTGGAATGGGAAGTGCTTGGAACAAGGGAGGAAAACCCCACAGAGGCCAAGGCTGCAGTCTGTGGCTCTATCCTCTGTCAACAGAGATGCTAATATTGTATAACAAGTCCCTTCCTAGTCAACCTGGTCAGGACTTAAGAATGATCACTGTCCACACAACATACAATGCAGTGGTTTCTTCCAAACACCCTGCTTGAATCATTCAAGGCTTCCCCCACTATGTTCCACCAGTAGCCAGCCAATCTCTAAGAAAAGAAATGAGAGTGTAGAGAGAAAACAAAGACTGAGACTCATGCCTAAGTTCTTCTGGTCAGTTTTAGAGTACTGGGAAGTGATGGGAACAAATGAAAGTCAGCCAGCTACATATACAGTGCCAAATATCCTACTGCTCGTCTCAACTCACATATGAGTTGGTCCTGAGTTGACTAGATAGGCGGGATATAAATAAAATAAATAAATAAAATATGTAAAACCCAGTGAGTCAATAGGTCTAGCCTATTTGGGATTAGCAAATAAGATACTGGATCTTGTGCCTAAAACAGACAGCATTTAATCTGTTACATTCTTGTACCCTGTTCATTACCCCTTCCCTGGCCCTTTGCATCTTTGTTTTCAAACAATCCACTCTAGAGTAAGGATGCAACTTTTATATTGGAAAGATAACACACTTGGAGCAGAATCCACTTACTTAACTATGTGTTTCCCCTATTTAGTAGGCTCCCCTTCATGCAATCAGCTACATTACAAAGGGCATACTGGAGGGGGAAAACCTGATGTGCAATTGCCTTTCCGTGTGTGCAAAACATCAACTATATTCTGCCCTTGGATCCCACTGATAAGAGAACCACTGGAATCATTTCCTCTTTTCCCCATGGATACCTCCATCAATGCCTGAAGAGTTTGTTTCAAGACACAAATGCTACTATTGGTGCCTCATTCTATTATCAGTCAGGATGCAGAAAGACTCCTACACCCGCCTTCCTGTTAATGCAACGTTTGTATCAGCCAGAGGACGGCTAGACAAATATTTCAAATCTGGTGCTAGTTCCCAGAATTTTTCAGAGGATCAAGATCAATCTATTTTTCACATAACAGATTTACATGGGACTAGCCAGATGTTTGGTGTATTGGCACCAGAGATTTTGGTACCTGTGCAATTAACATATGCCAAAACTTCTTTCTTTTGCACAATGGATTTTTTTTAACACAATAGATTCTTTTAACAATCAACAACTGCACTGATTTGACATTTCATATCCCATTCATCAAACTAAACTTTTTAATGGTTTGAATAAATCTATTTACAATCTACCTGTGAAAATACTACTCCTGACTTTAACTTTCTTAGTAGTTTAGCATTATTAAGGTATTGGTTCAAACAAACCAGATTTTCTCACAATGCTATCATATACATATGTCTGCAAAAGTTGAGTCCCACTCATTTCAATGGGACACACCCCACACTTACGTGTGCACAGGACTTCAGCATTGCTTGCCTTAACTGCAAAATCACTGATAATCTGTGGTTGCAACACTTCAGATTTTCGCAACTCATGTAATTTTATGTCTTGCATTGAGGGGGCTTTACAAAACTTAGCCACCCAGAGCCATTCTTCAGGAAACAGAAAAAGGCATCAGGATTATTTTTCATATACAAAGATACTCACCTTTTGAGGATGCCAATGGTGTCTTCTGGCTTCACAATGGCCACCTCTTCTGTGTCATTGAGGAATTTGAGGCGCACCTTGATAAAGCCTGAGTTTGGCTCACACTCCTCCACAGCAGGTACTGTTTGTGAAACACTCTGGTTCTCTTGAGAAACAGGATCGATAGAAAAGGTCCTCTGGGGCACACCCTGGATGTCCAATAGGCGGTCTAAAGCAGCATCTGCACCACTGCTGCTTGCACCTTGTTCGGCTGCAGGGCTTGGGTCAGAAGCAGGACCTTCATCTGCCTTTTCTTCAGTGCTTTCTGTAGCACCCTGGGGCTCTGACTGTTCGGACACTGAATTCCCTACATATCGTTCAATGGGGCTCAAGTGGATCACTGATGAATCTCCAGTGGCCACTATAGTTCCCAGAAGATGACTGCTGCCATCTGCAACATATGTGGAAAGCCATGCCAGAACCAGGGCCATACTAAGGACCACAACACCAGCCACCACTGTTACCTCATCTCCCACACCTTCGATCATGGTTGCTTCAGGGGGCTCCATTCCTTGGCTTTAGCTACAAAGGGAAAAGACAAAGATTGAATCTTGTGGTTTTGGACCGGTGATGGACATGAACTGAAATGGTAGCAGACTAGGATTTCAGTCTCATATCTTACTCAATGAAACCATGAGGAAAATAATAATGAGGCAGCTATTTATAACCATCACAATGATTGTGGTCATATTCAGTTTGCCCTTTTTCTGTGAGATATCAGTGTCGGGGATTCAGTGGACAGTTCACAGACTTGGGCCATTCAATTATGAGCTCAGTGAGCTGTGGGTAACCTGTTACTTCAACTCCAGTTTTCCAACTTTAAATACGAATGAACACGACTTTCTTCATATGGGGTGGGAGGAGATCCAAGTATAAACAGGTAATAAACAAAGTACTGTAACTTAAAATCTTCACTTGACAGATTGATAATACTATGAGGAACAAATGATGCAGAACAATAAGCAGCTAGGACTGCATAATGAAAGACATGTTATTTCCTACACCTTTTAATATTTATTCACAAATGTTTTTAAAAGTTATTTTTCTTGCTCCTGCTGCTGAAAGCTTTCAAATCTGGCGATTATGCCTACAACAAGCAGAAGAAGAAGGTGTCGCCAAGTCAGTTCTGACTTATGGTGACCCTTTTCCCCCCAGGTTTCCCAGGTAGAGAATACTCAGAAGTGGTTCACAATTCCCTTCTTCTTGGGCCACCCTGGGACTGTGCAACTTGCCCAAGGCCACACAGGCTGGCTCCGCTTACAGGAGGCACAGTGGGGAATCAAATTCCCAACCTCTGGCTCAGCAGCCAAATGCCTAACTCATTAAGCTATCCAATCAGCATGTGTAGGTATTCAATAATTAGATGAGTTCTATGGACAGAGAAAATTAACGGCAGAAATTTATATTGTTGGCATGTGAGGGAGACAATATCTAAGAAATTTCAATCTGATTGATACAGTACTTAAAACAGGATAAGCTTGGGAGATGGAGTTTCACACGTATCCTACATGGCTGCACTTCCGGATTGCCAACAACTATTTATTTAAGTGAGAAATAAAAAGCATAAGAAAATGACATCATTGTATTGCCAAAAAATTTAAAGATGATATAAAGAAAATGACAAAGATGAAAATATAACCTTAAACAAGAAAATTAAAACCTTCAGAAAAAAACAAAATAAATTCCTCCAAACTCTCCCATCTTTTGAGATAAAATCACAAACACATGACAGACAAAAAAAATAGTGGATAGAAAATACATGATGCCTCAGTAAAGATTAACTAAACACTTGGATTAAGAACAACTTCCCCTTATATGTGTAGGTATCCAATAATTAGACGAGTTCTATGGAACTCGTCTAATTATTGGATACCTACACATGCTGATTGGATAGCTTAGTGAGTGGGTACATAACTAACTAGCTAAGGCTGCACAAATTTGAGACACCAAAGCATAATAAGTATGTTGGTCTTATCTGCCACTTTTGGTTACAGTCTCTGACAGGCCTCTGCCGCTGCCTAATGAACAGAGGACCCAGAGAAACAGTGACAGAGAACCTTATTCCAAGTGTAGGTAGAGTTAGTTATTTGCTATAATTGGCTTTCAGACTTATATACCAGCTGTGATTAAAACAAACAGAATGCCCTCCAGTTCACTAAAATAATTTCAAAATATTTATCTTAATCTTAGGGAAAGAAATATTAAAAACATTAAAATGCAAATGATTAAAACTATAACTATAAAACAGCAGACCATCAACAACAGGAGCAAAGCCACTTACCTTTTTTCTAGACACATTAGATACTGTATTAAAATGGAACACATATACTGTACCATAACTATTATTTTTACCAGTCTCCTAAAAGCCACATGCTGGTTTGTACTTTTAACATAGATTGTTAACTGCCCTGAGTTTCTATGAGGATGAGTAGGATATAAATTGAATAGTAAATGATCATAGCAAAGGCTATACTCACACAGGGTTTATTAAAAACCTCTCTTATGCATATGGGTTTAAAAACATCCTTTCTGCTGATAAGGATAAATCTGCTTCTTTAACCCACATAAAAGTTTGCAAAACTTGGCAGTGGGAATGCACAGAGAAAATTAATGGCAGACGTTTATATTGTTGGCATGTGAGGGAGACAATTTCTAAGAAATTTCAATCTGATTGATACAGTACTTAAAACAGGATAAGCTTGGGAGATGGAGTTTCACACGTATCCTACATGGCTGCACTTCCGGATTGCCAACAACTATTTATTTAAGTGAGAAATAAAAAGCATAAGAAAATGACATCATTGTATTACCAAAAATTTAAAGATGATATAAAGAAAATGGCAAAGATGAAAATATAACCTTAAACAAGAAAATTAAAATTTTCAGAGAAAAACAAAATAAATTCCTCCAAACCCTCCCATCTTTTGAGATAAAATCACAAAAACATGACAGACAAAAAAAATAGTGGATAGAAAATACATGATGCCTCAATAAAGATTAACTAAACACCTGGATTAAGAGCAACTTCCCCTTATATACAGTTTTATTTCTGCTAACTGGCACAGACTATTACATATCCCATTGGACTGCTAAATTCATTAAATGAGCCATGGAAAGATGGAGCTCACCACCTGCTTCACCAATCTTTACAAGTTAATTTTACAACCTGATACTTGCTTGAGAATGCTTATTTTATTATTTTCTGCTTTTCTGATTGTTTATATGTATTTATATTAAATGTCAACTACCATCTTTTAAGACGGGTTAAATTTCTGACTGGCTAGTAAGCAATAAACTATAAATAATTATTAACTGAGAAACTAAATATATTCTAGTGATGAAAGAGTTAAGAAATCAGCAGACTAGCTTGGCCTCTGCCCATTTATGTTCACCAACATATGCCATATTTCATCCATTAATTACTACAGGCACATACCTCTGTCTGCATACATCTGCCTACAACGCAAAAGGAATCTTTTTCATGACAATGATCATGAAGTCCAGCAAGAGGAAGGTTTGTTGTTTGGATGACACACTGTCTGAGGTCCTTTGGTTCAGCATCAGGTGAACATACCCCAGACATAGGATATTACAGCAAATTCTCTCCCAGTTTAAAAATTCAATTAATTAATATAAATAGCTAAAGGCCACTTCTTAGTTGAAAGACCCACTAAACTCAACAGAAAGAGGAAAAAGTGACCCACTTCCTCAACACTTCTGCCCTGGCCAGTTGCTACTTCACGAGCAGGTACACAACAAGGTAGGCTTATTCTACTCTCTACAAGTGGCAAAGATACAATACAGATACTATGCCTTTATAACAATGAATTTAAGCCTTGCTTAGGAACCCAAATCACATTACTTTTAATCAAAATGTGAACCTACAAGTTTGAAAGACATAGTAGACTGAACCCCTATTCTCAAAACTATTCCTAACCCGACTACTTCCCAGTTTTTACAAGGTATCAAGCTGCTGTTACATGAAGCGAATGCTGGTATGTTATACAAGTTCATGGAGCTAAATCCAATGTTGGCCTCAGTAGGACTCAACCTGCTGAAATAAATGCAAACTGATCAACAACAGTGTACATCCTGTAAATCTAAAGAGCTCTATCCGAATTGGAATTAAAGAATTTATCCCATGGTTACAATGACCACAAAGACTTTTTTGTTTTTTACTTACCAAGGGGGCTTTAGTTCTAGTAGAAGATCTAGAGCCACTGTTAGTTCAATGAAGCTCAGGTTTTTATACTATAACCTAAGATACATAGAATCTTCTGTCCATGTTAATCTGCCCGTCCAAATAGAAACAAAAACAACTCGTCACCACTGTGATCTGCCTAAGTAATAAAACTGCTCCAGATTAACAGAATTTTCCATTTGTAGAACCGGTTTGTGACAAAACAGAGTTTCTTTGTGAAAGTGCCAGAGGTAGATGAGTTCACAGAAACAGGAATCTGTGCTGCTTTCATGTAACTTTTTTAGCCCATCTGAAGGTGACAATTTCAACTTTTAATGAAGAACACTGAGACTAGGAAGAGTGGCTATGAAGGAACTAGAAGTGTAAGGATGTTTCAAGATCATCCGCATGCTTGCAATCCCCATCACCATATTGCGATATGAAAGCTAGACAGTTAAGAAAGCTGACAAGAAAACTTTTATTTGTTTGAAATATGGTGCTGGAGGAGAACTTTGCAGATAGAAAGATTAACAAGTGAGTCCTGGATCAAATCAAGCCTGAACTATCTCTGGAGGCAAAAATGACAGAACTTAAGCTGTCCTATTCTGGGCACATCATAAGGTGGTGGGATTCTCTGGAAAAGTCAATGCTGGGAAAGGTGGAAGGCAGCAGGAAAAGAGGAAAACCAAATACACAGTGGACTGACTCCCAAAAGGAAACAGAAGCTGAGCAGGACAGTTGAGGACAGGTCATTTTGGAGATTGTTCATTCGTAGGGTCACCATAAGTTGAAGGCAACTTGATGGCACATAGCAAAAACAACAACCATGTTCTAAATGGCTTGAATGAAGTGTGGTGTAGTGAGTAGAGTAGTGGATCTAGGACACAGTTATACCTTTCCTCTCTGCAGAGTTATCACCTTTGTTACTCTTCTAACTTTAAAAGAAATTCAACGTGTACAAATGAAACATGCTAAGCTGTTCCTACTACTGACGTGTCTGCCAGAAAAAGCTGTTTACCTGTCAGAAAGCAGTTGCTTTACTTATTAATATCCCAATGTGATTCATAAAATTGATCCTAAGCACCCTTTCACACACAGCTGAAAATATCTACAGGAAATTAAACCAGGATTGGGGGTCCTGTACCCATGCAGATGTCCAATAGTAAAGGACAATGGGAACTGGAGGCCCACAAGCGCCCTCACTGAAGAGCTATTTAAATTTGCAACAACCTATTTTTCAGAGGCTGTCTTCTGTTCTCTGCGTTTCTCCTTATCCCACTCTTTCAAGAAGTACTTTGATCAACATGCCTAAGACTTCTGTTCTCCACTCTTCCTCATCTAAAGAGCTGCTCCTGTTTATTTCCTGTTTAAATCTAGGTCCTGTGAAATGTACCTCCCCAATATTGAATTATAAACCCTTACTTGGCCCTAGGTGCTTCTTCCTCTATCCGAGAGGCACAAGGCAACTTGTGGACTTCCAGGTGTTGTTGGGCAGAATTTTCCATCCAGATGTTGCTAGGCAGAAATTGCCCGTGTTGTTTATGGCTGGTGGGAATTCCACCCCAACATCTGGAGAACCACATGTTGCTCACCTGTGCACATTTCTTCCTTTTAGGCTTATCACAAGTTTGTTTTTAAGCGCCCTAGGTAGGTGCAGACGTAAGAAGTTGAAAGGCCCTATAAGGAAATAGAACAGCCAGGCTGATGAAAAGGCAGGGTAAATAACCTGTGAACGAAAGCCCAGGGAAAAATCAGTTTAAGCAAGACGAGGAAAGGATGAAACCCCTATAGAGAACCCAATGAAAATCGGTGGAGGCGATAAAGGCGGGGAGGGGGCAGAGGGCTCTCATAAAAAGGGTCCTATGGGAGGTTGCGACCGGGACTAGACAAAGGCGCAAGAGTGCAGGGAGGAAGCAGAACGGGGTATTTTTAAAGGCCGGGGTGTTGGAGGGGCGGAACCGAGGCTTTATAGGGAGGGGGGCGCACAAACCTGCCACTCACCTTCCCTTCCGCAGAGTCTCTCCCTCTTCCCCCTCCTATCCAGAGAGATACGTCACCAATGACCGCTGACAACGTCATTTTAACACGCGAAACGCTGCCATGTTGGAAGGTTCGTTGCTATGGCAGCAGCTGCGGAATAGGTTGATGACGCATCCATTACGCGCCGAACTAACCCACTTTAGCAATATTTTTTCCCCCTTCTTTTTAACATTAAATTTACATTTTCTTTAATTTCCGCCAATAGTGTAGGAGGCCACGGAAGAAAGTGTTGATTTCGTTTGCCCCTTAAATGAAACTGTTTGAGAACTTTCGGGATTTTTAATGCTGTCCGTTTCTTTCTTATTGAGAACTATTTCCGTAGAAACAAGGAAAACTTAAGGTACACTGGACGGCAACAAAGATCGAAACTCGTGCTTTTTCAATTGAACTCTTATTTAGATCCTATCTGATTTGTTTCGAGTCTTCGAGCATTTTAAAGCGAATCAGGTTTACATGGGCTGAAAGGGAAAGTAGATCACGTTAGCAGTACATGGAGAAAATTAAGTTTTGAACTACAAGTCCCAGAATGCACCAACCAACTGATGTATTTGTTGACTGGGTGATTCTGAAAAATGTAGCAGAAAAAAGCCTCGCCCCCCAAATGTAACTAACATGTACACTGTAAACTAGAGTGCTTTATTGTGTGGACTTGAAGACAAAACCAGCCCCCTCCCCAATTCAAAAGCTACAATATTGTCACTTGATTATGTTGCAGAGCGGCAAAAGTGTTCTTTTCCCACTTCACCAGCCAAAAATGACACTGTTCTTTCTTTCATTAGGCCACTATAATTACTCTGATTTGGAGAGTGGGTTATTGTTGGCCTGCCAAATGTTTTGTGATAGAAAACCCATGATCCTTTCAATTGGCCTTATTGGGCAGACAGATGGGAGTGTCCAGCCAAAACATGTGAAGGGGGAAATGTTCTCCTTGCTATAGCTACTTTTCAATCTGGCATCTGGTCTGAGGTTAGTATTTAAATATCTTATTTTTTGCCCTGTTTTGGGAACTTTTTTAAACTTAATGTGTGAGAGCGATAAGACAATCCAGTTGCTCTTCTAAATAATTCCTAGTCAATTAGATTCCTAAGAAATATGTGTGGTTTACGCTTTCAACAGACACTGCAGAATTTGCTTCTGACAGCACTGTATTACAATCTGAGTCCAGGCAAGAAACAGTGCTATACCACCCCCAAGGCACCACCAGAGCCGTGATTGACCAGTTTTCTATCTTTGGGGTGAGTATTTATTTATTTAAAATACTTTCACTCTGCCTTTCTTCTTAAAAAGGAACTAAGGCAGCTTACAACATTGAGAGACAATATTTAAAACTGGAAACAATGAGTATACAACGGTAGTTTACATAATTAAAATACAATATTTAAAGTTAAGAACAATGAATATAGAGAGGTAGCTTACATCTTTAAAAGCTAAGAACAATAAGTATACAGTACAAATATTAAACTGGGGGGATGCCATTCTGAGAAAAGGAAAACTTTTTTCTGGAAAAGACTAGTACTAAAAACCATTCAAAGCAGCAATACAGTACATAATCCATCTAAAATGCACACAACAGGCAGCTAGTTACTGAGGAAAGGCTTGCCTGAAAAGAAAGATCTTTCCTGCTTGCGGAAGGACAGCAAAGATGGGTTCAGTCTGGCCACCTTTGCGGGTGGGGGGGAGTTCCAAAGTCTGGGAGGACCAACCGAAAAGGCCAGCTCCTGTGTCTCCATCAGATGCACCTGTGAAGGTGGTGGGACTGACAGAAAAGCCTTTCCTGATGATCTTATCACCTGAGCCAGCTCATAATGGGAGATAGTTTGGACTCAGAAGTTGATTGGCAGCCACTGGAGCTGCTGTAAAATAGGGCTTATGTGATCCCTGTAACCAGCCCCAGTCAGCTATCTGTCTGCTGCATTTTGGACCTGCTGAGGTTTTCTGACACTTTCAATCAGCAGCCCCACATAGAGCATGTTATAGTGATCCAGCTGGGAAATAACTAAGGTGTGTGTAACAGTGGCCAGATCAGCTATCTCAATAAATGGATGCAGCTGGCACACTGGTTTTAATTGTGCGAATTCACTCCTGTCCACTGCTGAGACCTGGGCATCTAGGCTCAGAGATAAATCCAGGAGCACCCCCAAGCTGCACACTTGTTTTTTCAGGGAGAGTGTAACCCCATGCAGTACAGGCTGCCTCCCTATACCATGATCTGCCTTTCAGCGGACCAGAAGCACCTGTCTCTTCTGGATAACTTTTAGTTTATTCACTCTCATACAGTCCATTACTAATACCAAACACTGATCTAGAGCCAAAGCAGCTTCCTCAGATTTAGGTGGCAAGGAGAGGTAAGAGTTGGGTGTCATCAGCATATTGATGACATCCCCCCCCCACAAAGATGGATAATCTCTCCCAGAGGTTTTATGTAGATGTTAAATAACATAAGAGACAAACAGAACCCCGAAAGGACCCCACAGGTCGGTGACCAGGGTGTTCGAACAGGAATCCCCCAGCACTACCTTCTGAGTTCTATCCTCCAGGAAGAACTGGAGCGGCCATGAAACAGTGCCTCCAAGTCCCATTCCAGAAAGATGAGTCAGAAGGATACTATGGTTGATAGTATCAAAAACCCCTGAGAGGTCCGGCAAAACCAGCAGGGACACAGATCGCCTATCCCAGTGGTCCCCAACCTTGGGCCTCCAGATGTTCTTGGACTACAACTCCCAGAAGCCTTCACCACCACCTCGGATGGCCAGGATTTCTGGGAGCTGAAGTCCAAGAACATCTATCCAGTTCCCAGCATAGGTCATCCACCAAGGTGACCAAAGCTGTCTCCCCTGAAGCCAGATTGAAATGGATCTTGATACTATGTCTCATCCAGAAACCCCTGGAGCTGAGAGACCACAACCCACTCTAGCACCTTCCTCAATAATGGAATATTAGATATGTATATGTAGATATGTTCTTTGCTTTTGGCTGTGGAACAAGGCAAAGAGTGTCTGCACTTTTAAGAAAACTCATATTTTGCTTGGTCTGAGGGTAAGTACAGGGTCTGTATGTAGAATATGAAACCATTAACAATTCTGATTTCAAACAACATAGCGTGGCTCAACACCCTACTGCCACTCTGTCATCCTGCCTCTGATCCTTTGGCATTCATAGATGAGAAAAGCTCCTGACTAGGAGGAGATAGGGCCTGACAAGTACCTTGTCAGTATAACCTGTTTCTTCTCCCAGCTAGTATCTGTCTGGAAGCAAGGAAAGAATGCTTTGGGTCCACTTACAGATAACCCGCAGCTGGACCTGGTCCAAAAATTGCTGCTACAGGTGTTAACCTTATCTGTGCTATTTCCTCATAAGGCCCATCCCAATAACTAGGTGGAAATTAGGAAAAGAGGCCAAGCCAAACTTTCCGGGGAAGATTCATTTTGGTTGGGGACAGAACACAAACATTTCCAGCATTTTATATAGTAATTCAAGCCAAAGAAAGAGAGAAAGGATACAGCAAGGTGGACCCCCCCCCCACACACATACACACCCTATGTGACTATCATGATGATATGATGGCAGGGATTGCAGTAGCCCATCACATCCCACGCAGCAGGTGCCTGTGCAGAGTTGGTTCTACAAAAAATAGCTGGCTCTGGAAAGCTGAGAATACGTAACAGTGCTGGTTTTCTAGATTGCAAGGGGAGGCAGCTCCCTGTGCTCTGCTGGTTGAGGCAACTACCTCACTGCTTAATGGCAGTGGCAACATCCTCTCCTTATCCACCACTTCCTTGGGAACAGTGGCACTGTTCTGTGAATTCCCTTTCTTCTACACTGCTGAATGACTACAAAGATGACCAGCAAAGAATTTGTTTAGCCATGAATCTTTTACTTTTCATTAAACACAGCATCTACTTTCCCACTTGTGCTTTATCACTTTTTTCATCTCCTGGTTGGGCTGGGCTGAATTGTTTGCCCCTTGTTCTTTAAACAGTATCCAGCTCTAAAGCCAAACTGTTGCATAGTCAGTATGGCCAAGCTTAGCCAAGTCTTCAAAGGAACCTGCTTCCCAGTGGATGGTGGAGAGCATCCCACTGTTCTCAGCTGCTCTGTGGCATACAATTCAGAGAGTTCACATAAACAGATTGCAAACCTCTGTACTACAGCTACATGAACTGAATGGAATTTGCCTAAAGAAGGTCAGTTGGCCCAAACAGTGTTTGGAATGCTTGCCTTTCAAATTCTTCCCCCCCCCCAAAAAAATCCTTTTTGAGCATTAATTTTTGAATTTTTTTAACTATTGCTATTTGTATCCATTTCTTTGATATTAGTTTCATACTTTTGGATTTTTTAAAAAGCTTTAGCTGTTCTTCCTCTAGTACATTTTTGTATAACTGCTTTTGACTTATGGTAATCCTATTAATTAATTACCATCCAAAGATTAGCTCTTATCATTAACAAATCTGCTCAGTTCTTGCAAACTAAAAGCTTTGTTAATACAGACCATGTTAGCTCTTCCTCTTTTCCTACTGTCTTCAACTTTACCTAGCGTCATTGGTTTTTACCAGCCTTGTCTTGTTTTACCAGCCTTGTCTTTTCATATTAGTCCAATAGCCTCAGTTTAGTCACTTTAGCTTCTACTGAAAATTCAGGCTTGATTTTGTCTAGAACACAGTTATTAGTCTTTCTGGTGGTCCATGGTGTCGATAGAGATTAGTCAATTTTAGTTAATAGAAATCTGACTGTAGCTTACTATGTCAACTTCAGCTATTAGGTGGCAGACCTCCCTAAGCAGCAAAGAAAGGAAGCTACATCATTCCTTCAGAAAGTTGTGCATGAATCAGGGTGTGGTTTGGACCACTCTGGGAATGGCTGGTTCACTCCATTTACCAGTGACCACATGATACTCATGAAGAAGCCCAATCCTTATCTTGCCTGCGTGTGCCTTCTGGGTACCAGGCAAGGGGCTACTATTTTTTTAGTACAGGTAGGATCACTCTGTTTTGGTTTGGTTCCATCATGTGTGACTGTCAGTATCAAACCAATACACATCCCTCATACTGGCAACATGGCAGCTATTAATTTTTTTAAATCCACTTTTCTCCAGCTGTAGAGGGGAATTTCCCTCACCCCCTATTTTTGCTCCCTTTAAATCCAGCATTGAATCACTTCAGTGGCAGCTTCCTTCCACTCCCCTGTGGAGGGGGGGACATGGGGGATATTTTTTGTTCTTTTTTATTTTCCCTTTAAAGGGATGAATAGGCTAAATAGGATTGCTTAAGGTGCTGTGTGGCTTCCTGCTGAGGGAGGAGACTGCATTGGCAAAGCTCTACCATTGAACAATGTCACTTCATATCCTTCTGTTTGTTAATAATAATGTTTAGTGTGGAGAAGAAACAGCTTCAAACATTGAAAGTACTTAAGCTTGTAATAGTATTAGGTTCAAGGCAACACAGTTGATTAATCTTACAACAAATGAGACTAAAACAGACATCAACAAAGTGAAGCCAATTCTAGTTTAATAGTTACCAGCTTGCAGCATATCATGTAGTAGGCCCATAACTAGAAGTTATATACAGTATATGGTAACCTATGACTATGTTTTGGAGCCATTATAAATATGTGTCTGGTAATTTTTAAGGATAATTTCTTTTTAATTCAATGTGAAGTGCCACGTGCTAAGGGAAGTCAAAGATATTAGGCTACACACATTCGGACTCTGATTTTAAAAAATTGTCACTTAAATCACAATTTTAAAAATTTATTTTTATTTAAATCATCAAAAATCCAATTTTTAAAAATTTAAATTGTGATTTAAAACAATTTGATTTAAATCAAATCAACCCTGGCACTTTGTCACAACATTAGTGGCAAGAATAAAAATTTTTAAGACACTTTTAATTCTTGGACAAAGGAAACCTTAAAGAAAGAGGTGCATAACTTTCTAAAGGTTTTACTGTTTCAGACCAACAGAGAAACATACTCTTCATCTCATTTGAGATAGCCTTCCAGTGAAAGAGACAGGTATTCTTGCAGAGAAGAGGGCAGTTCCAACTGAGCAATTCCCTGATGGCATCGTATTCCCAATTGCTTCCGGATAGCACAGCGGGCCAGATGTTGCAGTGCACGGGGCTGATTCAGCAAGCAAAGAGCAGAATCATAGAATACATGGTGCTCCTGGCACAATGGAAAGAAAAGAAATCAAATGAGGCTTTGCATGCACACCAGGTCTAAGCAAGCCTGAAGCACAAGCAAGGAGACAAAGACCTTATAGAAAAGTAACCATAATAGCTAAGAATCTTCCTCTTTTGGAACACAAATTCTAAAAGGCTGTTGTGCTCAGAACCTGTTCCAACCTCAGTTACAACTCTAAAATTGTAGCATTTAATGATTCGTCATGTATTGGCAAGTTGATTCTGATTAATGGTGATCCTTTCCAGGGCATTTCTAGGTATAGAGCACTCAGGAGGCTGCTCTGGGACTGTGCAATTTGTCCAAGGCTACACTGACTGGGTTTTCTTCCAAGATGCGCATTGGGAACTCAAACTCCTATACTCTGGCTCTGCAACCACATACCCAAACTCAGTGAGCTACCTAGCCACATTTAGAGAGTAACTAAAAATTTGCCCTGCTGTTTGTGCTATATCTCTCACTGTTCCTTGCAATACTTATTCCAGCAACTACACATTCCTTTTAACTAGGAGTAGACCCAATCTTTTGGATGAGTAAGTGGTATATTCTATTTGGCGAAAAGGGCTTGAATCTTTTTGTAACATTACCACTCACATTATTTTGTCTTGCTTTAAGTTTATGTGATACCTGTACAATGGTGCCCTGCTTGACGATTACCCCGTTAGACGATGAAATCGCTTGACGATGAGTATTTTGCCATCGCTATAGCGATCGCAAAATGATGTTTGGGGTTTTTTGCTTCATGACAATCAGTTCCCTACTTTGGGAACTGATTTTTTGCTTAACTACAATTTAAAAACAGCTGATCGGCGACTCTCAAAATGGCTCGCCACTGCTTTGCGGACCTCATTCCTCAAGACAGGGGGCAGAAAATGGCCGCCCTATAGAGGATCTTCGCTGCACAATCAGGTATTTCCCCCTTGGAACGCATTGACCAGTTTTCAATGCATTTCAGTTGTTTTTTTCCACTTGACAATGATTTTGCTTCACAGCGATTTTGCTGGAACGCATTATCGTCGTCAAGCGGGGCACCACTGTATTGTATATTGTATTTTAAAAAATAATTATGCTAGTTTAGCACTATAGCTATAACACTAAACACATCGGTAAGAGGGTGGTGATAATAGTAGGAAAAGGTCATGTGTGAGGCATGGACAACCTGAAATGCACCATGCTGAGATAATTGAAAATGTCTGTGTGTACTGCAGTAACAACTTAGATACAAGGATGCAGAACAGAGATGTTCATGTTAACCCAGGGCAATTTTTTTTGTGGTTACACCTTTAGAAACATACAGATAAATAGTAGTAAAATTGTAATAGGTTAGTATGTAGTACAGTAGAAACTCTATATCAACAGGAGATCAGTTCCAATCACCCCCCAAAAATGCTGAAACCATGAATAATAGCAAATGCTCTTATAATAACTGCACTATACTTAACATGGTCTCTGGCTCCATCTACTAGCTAATTCTGGTAATGTCATCATGGAAAGATGTGTATGGTATTTCCATAGTGAACCCTATACAAGTATGATCCCTCTAGTGGCCAGTTCTGGTAAATACAGAGTAGAAATACTGTACAGTACATATTTCTGGGATTTTTCTTTTAATATTTACTGACCACAGACAGGTGAAACTGGATACTGATCTTGACGATATGGAGTGCTACATGTGACCAAAATGAATCTGGCCTAAAACTCAGAACACAGAAAACAGCTTATATATTTCACTATGTAAACCCTAAATTTGTACTTAAACATATGCTGCCAGTACTGCCAAAGTGAATGCTAAGCTTGTGACAGTACACTGTGGATTTTCAAATATCATGAGATTAAAGAAACTCCCACAGTATTTGACTTTTTAACAGGGGTAACAGTTCACCTCAATCTACCCTAATGGAATTGCTTCCTCCCATTGAATCCTAAACTAAGATTTGGATCATGGATCTCCATGTCCGTTGGTAACATCATGCCATAACAACTCTACTAATATTGCACATTTCATCTTAGTACCATCCATGAAGTAGCATTACACGGAGAAGAAAAGCTTTATAGTTCAGCCAAGAGGGAGTATCTGTGCAGGTGGCAAAGTGAAAGACTATCAGAAGATATCAGGGATCAATAGTTGAGTTCTCATTAAAAAAATTCAATGGTAATGGTAATGCAAGAAAGGTGAGATTAAGCAATGGAGAACAAGAGAAACAAGATTAATTAAGAAGAGGAAGACTTAGGAGAAGCAGTACTGTGGCAGATGATACAACGATGGAAATACTGTAGAAGAACAAAGCTTCTAAACAGCAGATGAGGTTCATCATTTCAAAATATAGGTGGAAAGTGTGTGTGGTACATTATTGACTGCTTCTCATTAAAAATGTTCATAACTGTGTGGGTGAAGGATTTTGCCATGATTTTGTTTCCATTGTGCTCTTATCTAAATGGATCAGACTCCTTGATTACAGAAATGGGTAGGAAATGGATTGGAAGGACATACTTGCCAAACTTCAGAGGGCACAAACTCCACCCAGGAATCACAGGATAGAATTCGGTCATAGGTGTTCAGAATAACTTCCATAGTCCGAGGGGATAAGACACAAAACTTTAACATCTATGGACAAATGCAAAGAGAGAAAACATAGGGAAAGATGGCATGTGTGAACACCTTAGAAGGAAAGCGGAATGTAGATTACATCCATGCAGCATCCTTCGGAAGACTGAGCCAGGAAACCAAAACACTGATGGGCAATTTACAGTTTTCCAGATGTAGCGGGGACACAGCTTCTATGATCCCTCACCATTGTTTGTGCTGGCAAAGGCTGATGCCAGTTGCAGTTCAGCAAAGAGTTTGAGGGTGACAACATTGTCCATCCCTAAACTGAAGACAAAGTGCCATCCTTACCTTGGGATTGATAGGAGCAGCGCCATGGTTAAGTAGGGTTGCTATAAGCTTCTCAGGCTCCCCTTCTAAGTAATCTTCCACTGCATGTAGAGCACAATCCACTGGTGTGTAGCCAGCACAATTACTGACATTGACGTCTGCTCCGTGCTGCAGCAGTAGCTCCACGATACGGATGTGGCAGTTGCTGCAGGCGTTGTGCAGTGGTGTGTGGTTCTTTCGGCCAGCTATTTGGGCATCCGCCCCACTCTCCAACAGCCGCTTAACCACCCGGTAGTAGCGACCAGCCTCTTCGGGCTTGTCTGCACTGGCACAGGCTGAATTGAGAGCTGTCTCCCCCTCTCGATTTCTGTGACCTATGTTTGCTCCATAGCAAAGGTAGAGCTTCACGTGATCATCTAGGCCATGCTTAGCAGCCACATGCAAAGGAGAAGCCCGGCGGTCTCTTGTGTTCTGGTTGACTAGAGCCCCATATTCCAGTAGCATCTGGGCACATCTGGAAGGCATAGTAAATTACATTGATGAATTTGGCACCTGCAATATAATCTAGTCTAATCTCAGTTTTCATTAAGTTTTAAAGATGTTTCGAGCTCAATTTATATCATTCTGGATGCTCAGAGGCTTACTGCCTAGAGAGAAAGTGCATCCATAAGGGTGGGAGCATATGGAACCAGCTATGTTTTATCTCCTAACATTTGTCTAGCATTGCAAATATCTTGAAATAGAATTCCAAAGCCTCTGAATCAACTACAGTTGCAGTCTAAAACATAACTTCTTAACATCCCGAGGCTCTGCTGTTTTAATCACCCCTCAAGCCACAAGAGAACCCTTCCAACCATCACCCCAACTTCCCAGACATACGGCAAAGACTCCTGCGTGGTGCACAAGTGGAGTGGGGCCAGCCCTTCCTCTGAAAGAATATTGGGATTTGCACTGTAGTTCAGGAGCAAACGAGTGCATTCTGCACGATGGTCGGCACAGCTATCATGTAGAGCTGCTTTCCCACCAACAATAGCATCCACATCAGCTCCTTGCAGGAGGAGATGTTTCACACAATCCCGGTAGCCCCTGGAAACTGTGATACGTAAGGGAGAGGTATGCTTCTTCTGGGGTGTTAACACCCACAGCCCTGCAGAATCGGCAAGGAAAGAGAAGATTTGATTGGACAGGAGAATCATAAATGCAGAGATGCCAAGTTGTACTTTCATAACATAACTGGAGTCTGGATGTTGTTATAGTACTGAGACTTGGGCCTGCGGCTCTGAAGATCTAGGTTCACTTCTCCACAGAAAATTGGGTGGCCTCAGTCTATTTACTCTCAGTTTGGCCTACCTCACAACATGGCTGTTGTTGAGATGCCTAAATGGGAAGGAGGTAAACCATATACAGTATACTGCCCTGAGTTCAGCGAAGGCAAAGCGGGACAAAAACTAATATTGGCACCTCTGGTCACCCGGTTGACTAGGTTTGCAATAGATTTGAGGCAAGCAGGAACCCATAGTGTGCTAATCACAATGCACAATTAATTTGAATTCACTGCTACAAGTTCTGGTACAAGACGTTAGTTTAAAAAAACAACAACAGCAAAGAAAGCCACGTGGTCCTTTACACAATCCAAATGAAGAAGTGATAGATACCTTTATTTAGACCACTAAAAATCAAACATTCAGTGTGAGCTTTTGTGAATAAAATTCACTTCCTCATACAAAGGATAGAAAAATTATAAACTACAGTCCCTAAATGGTAATGCCAGAGATGTGCCAGACATGTTGCTTAAAGTGAGCTGAGAAGCTTTCGTGAATAAAATTCACTTCCTCAGATAAAGGATAGAAAAATTATAAACGAAAGTCCCTAAATGGTAATGTCAGAGATCCGCCAGACATGTTGCTTAAAGTGAGCTGAGGGCGGCTTTCTACCAGTTTGGAGGTGGGTGTTTTTAAATGATTTATCCCTGGTGCCATTTGGCTGGAATTTTCCAGTCAGTCTCTAGGATAGGAATTAGTCTCTGAATTAAGCCTCTTTCCCCAACTCATATTGTCTGTTTGGAAATACCTGTAAACTTTCCTTATTGGCAGGGAGGGGGGGCAGAGAGGCCACACAGAGACTCTTTCTAAGGCTGGTATAATTTTTGGTTAGGCTTGGTCTGATAAAGGTCTGCTCCAATTCCATATAAGGCAGTAAATTTAATTTAAAGAGGATGTATAAGTTAATGTACAGTGGCGCCTTGCTAGACAGTTGCCCCGCATGACAGTTTTTTCTGTAGACATTGACTTTTTGTGATGGCTATAACGATTCGCAAAACAGTGATTCCTATGGGGGAATTTTGCTGGACAATGTTTGGTCCCTGCTTTGTGAACCAATTTTCGCTAGACAACGATTTTGACAGCTCCCTCCGCGCTCGCAAAACAGGTGTTTTGGGGACCTAAGCTTCGCAAGACAGCTATTTAAACAGCTGATCGGCTGTTCGCAAAGCAGCTTTCCTATGGCCGATCTTCGCTAGACAACGACGATTCTTCCCCATTGGAACGCATTAAACAGGTTTCGATGCATTCCAGTGGAGAAATGCTTTTTGCTAGACGATGATTTTGCTAAACAGCGATTTGAGTGGAACGGATTACAATAGTCTAGCGAGGCACCATTGTAATGGCACAATATGTTTGTATTTGCCCTACTTATGGGCTTTTGCCAGTAAAATAGGGCTTCTGGAATGACCTCACTTACTTACAGTATTTTTGGCTCCTCACATTTCCCTCAGTGAGGGAGACCTGGACAAGCAGAATAAGGCTTTTGTGCACCAGTTTTGGTGACGGTGGCAAGACCCTTCAATTTGATGTCTCACTGTATCAGGATCATCATAATAACCTAGGTGCAACATGTGAGTTCTGCTTTATATGGGAAACCCGGACAGCCACGATAAGGCTTTTATGCAACAATCTGTTCACAGAAAATTTGTTATTTATGTTGCTGATATATATGGTATTCCAATCCAGTAGCAAGCTGCAACTAGAGTAGGTCCACTGAATCAATGGAACTTACAAAGGAGTTGACTCAGCGAATCTCCAGTCATTCAATGGGCCTACTCTAGTTGCAGCTTACTACTAAATTTGAGTTACTGAATAACGTGGGCCAAGGAGAAGGTCTTTGTGCCAAGGTCCCATCTGAAGTTAAGAATTTAGGTGGGGGAAAAGAGAGAAAGTGTGTCAAACTCAGAGAGAATAGATGCAGATGTAGGCCAGGACTGATAAAGCCAATTCTACATTTAGAGGTACTATTTCTGTTTATCTAGTATCTATAAATATGCTTAGCTCACATGACAGCTTCCATAGCAGCAACTTACCACAAAATTAAAAGAAACAAAATAAATTAGTATTACTGTACTGTAATGGCTTACACACGCACGCACGCAAGCATGTTTATAGATAGTAGAAGCACACAATACTCTGTTTATCTAGCATAGGGCAGATTTCATAATCAAGCTCTATGTGTAGATTTCCAGAAACTTTAGTTCATCAGATGCTACACATGGAAAGCTGTGACTCTGTCTCTTCTTAGGATGGACTTGAGAGAGGGTTATTTGAAGGCTTACAAATATTACATAAATTGAGATTTAAACTTAATTGGCAGCAGTGAGGTTTAGCTGTAGCTACAGCACCTGCCAAAAATCTCAGGAGCCGGAGGGGTTTGTTGGACAACAATTCCCAGAATCCCTCACCATCAGGAGGCTGTCTCACCCCACAGCTTGAAAAAGTTGCTTTTTAAAACCGTAACTCCCAGTGACCCAGTGTGAGATTCTGGGAACTTGAGTTCAAATAATTATTTTTTCAAGCTCTAGCAGGTTCTTCTCTACCCAGTTCCTGGGAACTGTAACTTAATGACAGAGGGCAGCACTAAGGATTCTGTGAGATATTTAAAGTGTCCCTCACTCCCACCAACTCTTAGACTAGGCTAAACATTTTCGAGGTCCCCTTAGGGAGATCCTATTGCTTGTTATGGCACAGCTATAGTTCAGAGATACTGGCTTGAGAATGTTAGAGGGGGGAAAGGGAGCCATGAAAGTTGGGGAAAAAAACTGACTGAGGTTGTGGGATAACATGGTCTTCAGTTGTGGAATGGTTGAAAACTACTGAGATAGACAGACAGACTACTAAACTTAAATATATATATAAATATATATTCTATATGTGTGTGTGTGTGTATACCAATAGATAAATAAACCAGCCAGTAAATATGCCTTAAGGCTTCCATTTGTGACACACCCACCCACAAAAAATGAGCCCACCAAAAAAACAAGAATCATCATGAACAAAACAGGCAAGTAACACAATCCATCATTTCCTCCCACCCACCCCCACAAAATCTTACCCAGTTCAGCTGACCACACCAGTTCCTCAGCAAGGCTGTCAATAATCAAGTTAGCGGTAGTTTCATCCTTAAAGATGCTTTTGATTTTCTGCAGGTCTCCTGTGTACAGAGCATTGTGGACAGCAGGATCCCGGCAGTACTGAGGACGCCGGCTGGACCTGGGGAAGGTATGGAAACTCCTGGTGACTGGCTGGTACCTTCGATAGGTAGAGTGTCTCGAAGCTGCCCTTTGCCGGTCTTCCCAGTCTAACATTTCTCGTTGCAGCCGTAGGGAACGCAGAGTGGAAGAGGTAAATGAGAAAGTTTCCCTGGACATGTCTATAAGTGAACATGGAGCTCAGTAGCCCTTATCTGCCTGCCCTTTGTTAATAGCCTACCATTAACAAAAGAGTCCCAGTTCCTCAATGCAATTTTTAAAATGGTACTGTTGCAATACAGTCTTACGAAGAAACACATGGGCTCTCACTGGAAGAAACACCCAGCCTAGCTAGGTTTATAATTAGAAATGAATAGTCACCAGAGTAGCACAAACATTCTTTCTCTCTCTCTCTCTGCAGTGTCGTTTTCCTTTTTGGTTCTCAGAGCAATTAACATGGTGGTGGTACCGTGGAAGAACAAAGTACGAGAACTGTAAAGTAAGGGTGATTTAGCCAGCTTGTCTTCCACTCAGGCTCCCCAGGAACCTAAGACCCTTGCATGAAAACGCAAGGAACAAAAGTAGAAAACACAGAACAGCTACCTGAAAGAGTTGCCACCTTTTCAGTTTTAGACTGACCCACTTTGCCTGGAGAACACTCCTACAAAAATTGTGCTGTTGTTCTGTGCTATGAAATCTGAACGAACTTATAGCGAACCTAATAAGACTTTGAAAGTGAGATATTTTAAGAGTGGCCTTACCATTTCCACTCCCCCCAGTGATTATTTTATATATATAGATATAAAAAATAGTGGTGCCTCAAACAAAAAAGTATACCTATGAAACCGGACCTCAGATCAGCACCAAATTCGGCACAGATGTAGCAGAAAGTCTGCTCTTGCTCTGTGCCAAATTTGGGAACATTTAGGCAAGGTTTTCAAGTCAGTTTTTAAAAAAAACAACTGTTTTGCCCTGCATCCAGAAGCAAGTTACTTTCAGCTACAGCTGATAGAAGAGACTAAATACGTTGATAAGAGAATATTTGCATACCTGAACAAGAACGTTTTCATTTTTGTTGCTTTTTTCCCCTTTCAAAATGACAGAGCCCATTCAGAATTTTTAATTAGCGTTTTTAATGCAAATTAAACCTCAGAAATCCACTCCCTTTTTCTAACATAACATTCTAAGCTGACCTCTTTGCATAGCGTCCGTTCTGACCAATCAGAATGCGGCTCTCAGACACACATCTAGAGATACCTGGCAGATTCTCTTCCTCCCCCTCCTTTCTTTCTGGTTTTGTAGGGGAGCAAATGTTGTGCTCGCTGCTGCAATGCACTAAAAAGAGGTGGCGGCGGGAGAATCATCTTTCTCATACAAGGCCTACAAAGGAGAAAGGTGTCCTTTTTTTTGGGGGGGGGGACAAGGGACGATTCTTTTCAGCCGGTAACGCCTGACTCTGTGACCAGGGTGCTTGACCGCTGTCGTTGGGGCGGGGGCGGGGCAGAAGGAGAGGAAGACAAAGTACTTGCGAGCCGAGCGGGGGCGCTCTGGACGATGCGCCAAATGGGGCACCCCAAAGGGAAGGGCCGGGTAGAGCCCGGCACCGCTCCTCCGTCCGGGTCGGTCACTTACATGCCTGGAAGGGGTGCGGGCGGAGCCGCTGGCCCGAGCTGAGACC